TATATATATATATATATATATATATATATATATAAATGTGTATATATTTTTTAATGCTTAGCCGATAAAGAAGTTCAAGAAGATCTTGCCTGTAAAAGTCTGGCAAAAGCCTAGTGATAGCTAAAATGTCTTGGCTATCTCAAAAAATCTATATTTTATAGACTATTTATCTGTAATTTTTCTATACTTCGAAATCAGCAAAAGTTAGCCATATGAAAGTTTATTGCACCATAGTGATGTCGATGTTGCAGAAAACTGCAACCGATATTTAGATGAATGTAAGATTTTAGGTTGAAAAATAAATCTAACACTGCAATTCTTTGCAACTCTATTTTAAACTTTTAAATTTTTAATATAAAAAGCATCATTTTTTTCTCAACTGTTTTTTACGAAGAATGAGAATTTATTGGTCGGCATTCATTTTGAACGCTTTGTGTCGAATTATATAGTTGTTACTTTAATGAACGACAACTGTGCAGTGTAAAAATGTTTCGGTTATATAGGCACGAATAAAGGCAGGTGGTGCACCATGTTCTGAGCCCATGATTTCTTTCGAACGTCCTCTTTCTTCGCTGTCGGTAACTTTTGAACGACCGGCATCTGTGTCCTCAGCGACGCATCCCGAGGTTCGTCCAACAGGTGAACCGAATGTTCATTACGCCGCCGAGCTGACTTCACCGTCTAATGGTCAAACAACAATAATTATTACTTTGTTTAGCTTATTACTTCACTAAACAGTTTTTTTGGTAATTTATAGATGAAGCTTGTAAAATATATTTTTTGTTTTGTGGAAAGCTAACAAAGGCATTCTTTTTTGTCTTTTTAGAAGACTTTGATTTGGGCAAAATTTTGGCTGGCCATGGTTACATTCCTCAAGCAGTCTACCTAGCATCAGTTAACGAAGTTCGTGCATTCGCAGCACATGCACCTAACGTGAATCGAACGAATGGAAATCGGCTGAGGGCTAATGGTCATCCCAACTACTATCGTGGTGATTATTGCAAAAATTTGTGTTTAAACAATCTTAATCGGTCTCTTTTCAATAAATCCCAGGGATCTCTTACGCTTATTTGGCGTATAATATTTTTTCTTCATTTTTATAATACCTTAAATTTTAAAGGTGCTTATCGTAATCGAGAGAACCATCAAACTCAGCAGACTAATGATATAGGACACTACAGAGAGTACATTCGTCGAGAGTATAGCAACACGAATTATAGAAATCATCATAATAATAGTCGAAGAGGCAATAACAATAATGAAGCAAATTATGAGTCAAGCCGAGAAAAAAATGCTGAATTTCAGCCTCGTAATCGATTTAATCGACAAAATAATTTCATATCTCAAAGTTTGTTCATTCAAGACTTTGTGTTTTGCGTTTTTCTTCTGCTAATCTCTTACATTGCTAAATTTACCCAATCAGTTAATTTTGATTAATCAGTGACGAGTGAAAATATTCCAGAAAGTGGCGTTTCTGCGCATAGTCGACACGCTGCAGATAATCAGAAGTCAGGTTTCACAAATAATCGAAACCGAAACACAGGAGACTATGAGCAAAAGTAACGTCAAACAATTTTTAAAAAAATTTTGAATTATTCAATGTAGTCAAAAATTTTTTTTGGCAATTTAAATTACATAATGATGACGAAAGAAAAGCCCAAATAGACCGTTTTTTTATTACCACTACTTTAGGCAGAAGCAAACGCTGATTATTGAGCCAAGCGGCGGAAGGATGAAAAGATCGTCGGCACTGCAACGAGCAAATCGTAGTCCTGTCGAGGAAAAAGAATATCTGGAAGACTATAATCTGTCATCGCCATGTAATGACGATTCCAAATCTGAATCTAGCAGCAAAAAAACTGAAGAACCAGAATATAATTTTGAAGAAGTACTGTACTTTTACTGTTAGTAGTTTAATCAGATTAACTTTCTGAAACTGCGGTAAAAATTTTAGATATGGAAAAATAGGTTTTTTTTAAATATTTTAGTTATTGATTCGTATCAGTACCATTTTTACCGTATATGATAAAATAAAATACCAATAGAAACCTTTTTCTTCATCTTTTATGTTTTGCTGTAGTCCATGTTAAAAATTTTCTTTCAGAATGCATTTCCAAGTTTATCGGAAGATGTTAAAGAAGAAATTGTTAAAGAAGAAAAGCCACTGTTTAGTAAGGTAGCTGCTGGTAAGAAGAAGGAGCGAAAGGAATCAAAAGAAAAACGAAGTTATGCTCAGATGTTAAAGCAAGGCAACGGGTAAATAATTGGTTATTACGGTTAGCCAACGGGTAACCTCAGTATTCCACCGATAAATAGGCCTTTTTTAGTTGAATTGTTCGGTTACTAAGTTAATTGTCAATGATTTCATGACCGCGTGAAACTGTTTCTGGTTTCTGTATCGTCAACTATGCAATTATTTCAGGCCAATTTCAACCTAAAGGATGAAAGAAGACTGAAGGAAAGGAGGAACTATTGTTGTTTTTTCTGTTCAATTTTTTAGCTTTGACAATGGGATAATTAGTTCGTTGTATTTTCCTTTCCTTTTGTAATATTTTTTCTGTTTTCAAATTCTTGGGAGCAGTTTTTTCTTGTTATTTTTTACATCTGTTTTCTTGATTTTTTTTCTTGTACGCTTTTGTGGCATGGTTTTTTTATTCAAATTTTTTGTGACTGACGTCAAGCAGTTTTTATTATAAGAAACAAACCAAATTTATAGAAATTTTTACATATTTTTGCATATTCAATTTTTTTATTTTTCTTTCTGAGACAAAAGATTTGTTGTTGTTTTTGTTGTTGCTTCTTTTATTTTTTTAAAATTTTTTGGAAAGGAATGGGCAAAAGGCGTCGAGGGAAAAAAAAAGGAAGAAGGAATAAAAAAACAGCGTATCTGGATCAAACTGTCTGTTGAAAGCACTGAATAGCTTTGACAAAAATTAGGTTTATGCTCCACTGTATCTGTATTATTGTTGTTAGCGTCACTTGTTAGGCTTAGTGCTAATAGCAGCAAAAATCTCCGGAAACTGTCACCGGTATTCAGTGGCCAACTGAACACCAAGGCTGAGATGGCCGGTTTTGACGACTGCGAATCCGGTGGTTGGCTCCGGTTTGCTGTGCTGTATATCTGTGGATAGTAAAATATTCAGAGCCATAACCAGCAGTACCATCCAACAACAGTTCGTGTGATAAATTCCGTTCTCTATCGATTCCCCAACACATTGTGATTTGTTATTCCTTTTATTATTATAATTATTGTTGTTATCACTATTATTATTACCGTTATCGTCACCATTATTACCATTTATTATTATTATTATTTATTCCATCTGCTCTCAACTTCTAGTCTTTTCGGGCCTTTCTTATGCCATTTCTATTACGTGTTACTTTTGTTTGTTTGTTTTTTTTTTTACTTTTTATTCGACTTTTTCAAACCTTCATTTAGAAGTTTCTTTTGGCTCTCTACTATGGATTCTTCTTGTTTTTTTTTTAGGGAATAGAAAGCAAAAAAAAAAAACACTTGTTTTTTTATTCCTTTTCTTTTTTTATTTTTTTTATTTTTTTTTATTAAGTCGGGTGAAACTTTTTGGTTTCTTTTTATTTAAAGAAAAACAGTAAGAAAACCTGATGAGGGAAAGAAAAGGTGGTCAAAAGTTGGAATAAGTAAATGGGCTGGATGGACGGATGAATCTATGTATGATCGGATTGTTGCTCCTGGAATATTGTTAAGAACAAACATTTTTTTAATGGGGAAGGGGGAAAAGAATTTTTTGTTTTCTTTTTAGAGGACCAAAGAATGAGGAAAAGAGTGATTCTTGTTAGGGGTAGAAAAAAATTGCCATTTTTCTGTTATACTTTCTTTTTTCTTTTTTTTTTTTTTGTCCTTTTTTTGCAATTTTTCGATTAACAAACGTTTAATTAAAATCGGGTTAAAGCGATCTCACATGACAGGTACATTTGAAACTCTGAGGCAAAGGTTTCATTCTGGGATTTGTTACGGTAGGACTCTGCTAAATTTTTTTTGTGATTCATTTATCAGACAACACATTTTTCTGACTTTTGTAAAAAAAACTTGCTTTTTTAGCTGGAAATAATGGCATTCATTTAGCTGAATCTGAACAAAACAGATTTTCGCTGAGTGCTAAAGCTTGCTCTTGATACCATAATGAGTGAATGAATGAATGAACAAATGAAGGGAAGAAAATGTTTTGTCTGTAAAATATACTCAATGTGATCACTTTTTTTTTTGATACTGTTATCCGCTAATACAGGTACAAACTTTTCTCACTGTTTTCATATCTGTATTGTTTCTTCTGTTTTTACACATATTCATCAAGCTGTTTCTTATTAATACTCATTTCCAGTTGTGTTCGCACACTCACAACATTTCTTGAATTTTTAAA